TCCAGAGCCCACTCCCATCCTTAGTTTTCTTTACAGTTTTTGTTGTTTCTTACACGCACATTTCTTTGTGCTTACAATTCATACACATTGAAAAGGTTAAGGGAGAGCAGGAGAAGCACAAACTACCCTAAGTCACCAACTGCATAATTAAGTAGAACACAGTTGGTCAATTCAAGAAAAGCAAATGTTGCACAACTAGGACCTAACTTCTCTGGATAAAAATACACTCTCAATCTGAAGGCAAATTTTTGCCAGATAACTAAGATAAACATTATTTCTGTTGTCTACAGAACACATCAGATATCAGATATTCTTTCAGGCTGCAAAAACGAACAAATAAGTCAACAAATAAAAACCATCTGACTAACAAATTACCTGGATAACAGACTTCGACCCAACAAATGCTTCAATCTTTTTCCAATCACGGTCGAACCTGAAAGAACAAGTCACAAAAATTTAGGATATGCATTTTCCATGACTCTTGAATTGAGATTCCAGAATAGATACTATCCATGATCCTAAAGCTAAACCTCGAAAACTATCCCAGCCTCGATTTCTTATTAGCTTGTTCAGCTAGAGGTCACAAGTGTTGGCACAGCGCTTACTACAGTGGCAAAGTTGAATATAGTTTACGACAGAATAAACACTTGAAAGAATTCTCCTTACACTTATCAAGGTTTAATTGTAGTAAGTGCATAACATTGATGACAACATCAGATGGGGAACTTTTCTTCTCAGGTCCCACTTTTCCCTCCATTGAAGCTTGGCCAAGCCCCAAGAGATTGTTACCATCCAGTATAGACTGGTTTTGTTTTTCTTCTTACTAGTAAGTAGCTTTGATAGCCTACTCAAAGTCCACGCTACCAAAACTAGACTTTGCATTTATAATGCGGCCTATAATGTTTCTCCTTACCTCTGATATGTAGCTTTGATTTTAATAAGTATGTACCATCAATGAAAATTAAGGAGAGTGAGATTTATTAAAAAAATGAGATAATGAGTTTTGCTTCTTGGTTCCTACTTCTCAATCCACTGTAGCTGGTCAAAAGATGGTGCTGTATATGGTTAAGACTAGCTAATTTTTTCAATAGCTAGGTAGATTTTTGCCAACCAGCCTTGTTACAACCAGTGCCTCCAGGACGACTTTGCACCAGATATAACAACAACTACACCTCAATCTCAAGCAAATTGGGGTCGGCTATATGAATCATCACTGACCCTGTTACACCTCATGGCAACTTTGCAGATATACTATAACTTAAAAGTTGATCCTTGTCCCCCCTAATTCAGAGCTCCTGCATCCATCCTTGTTCCCTCCCCATTTCCCCTTCACCTACCCCAATGTTTTAACAATTTCCCATTTCATAACATAACCTAAAAAGTGCAAAGCTTCCATTTTTATCTAGTCCTGTTCAACTTCCACAACAATAACAACTAGTAATATCCACCACACACAAAACAGCAAAACACAAACAAGTGCCGTGAGCTAAAATAAAAACAGAGAGAGACTCACAATTGAAGAGCTTCAAGAAACTTGTCATGCTCCTGCTCAGTCCAGCTCTCTCTAGACTTAGTAATCGTATAGGGCTTCCGTGTCTTCTTGCTGTGATCATCGGACACCACCACTCCCAAGCCTGTATTCGAATCCAAATTCAAATTCCCATGTATACTAGTACCCGATTGTACCGGATGCAAACCCATAAGACCCGTTTTCATCGGATCCCCCATGTAGTGAAAATTTTGACCCGGCGGTGTTGGATATACAGACACCATATGTTATGTATCAATATAGAAACAGAAACTTCAGCTTTCTGAGTGTTCTCTCTGCTCTATTTCGTTTATGAAATGAAAATTTATTGAAGTTTTACACAGAGAAATGTGTATATATATATATATATATAAAGAGAGATGATTAACCGACATTATTGCAAATGGAGGGAAAATTGTGATCATGGACGTCCACGTGTAATTAATTGGAAGGTGCAAATGAGTTTTGCATTTCTCAACAAATGGCAGGTTCTAGAAAGTTTTATTTTGTGCGTATCATACAAGTATGACTAGTGGGGACCATACTTACTCTTTAATAACCACACATTTTTAAAAGTTATATTCATCCCCACCCTTTTTTTCGTCTAGTATTCGGACTCTGCATTGAAGCACTGATTAAATTCAAATTGCACATTGCGGGATTCATTCGAGAGTTGCAGGGTCCATTCAAGAGTGACACACTCCCAACAAAATTTTCTCACTTGAACTTGAGACATTTTGCTAAGGGTGAAACAATTCACCATTCCTTTCTACCGCTTGTCCTTGCTTTTTACTCTTATTTGGTCTTTTTCTTTTAAAAGATATAGTCACGCATCACCAACCAAAGTATGTCTTTTAATCTTATTTGGTCTTGTTCTTTTAAAAGATAGAGTCACGACTCACGCTGACGCATTACCAATCAAAGTATGTGGTGTAGTGAATGAGACTGTTTTTTTCTTAATCAGAGGTCTCGAATTGTAGCTGTGGATATAGAGAAAAAAAATTAGCAGGGAGTTGGAAAACCAAAAAAAGATATAGTCATGTGAAGCCGTCAGCTGATAGCCTTTCCACTTCAATTTTTACTCTTTTTTTGGTTAAGTGAATAAAGTCTTGGTATATATGGACGTTCTGGGCAAGCTACAATAATTCTTATTGTCAGCTTGCCTGCCTTCATTGTAGAAAATATGAATCGCTACGTTATTTATTTCTTTTAGTAGTTTCATGCCCTAGCCTATCATAAATCTACTAATTGATTGTCTCATTCTTACCCTCTTGTAATCTAAAATAAGAAGATTGAATTTAAAACTTTAGGTTAGTATTAATTCATTTCTGACAAAATTTCAATTAGGGTTATCCATGTTACATATGATGTTATTGATGTCCTTAACCACACGATTATTATTAGTTATGCCTCATCTACAAAAAATTAAAAAACTTCACCCTTGGACGCAGGGGCGGCTCGACAGTGTTAAAAAAAAGACATGTGCCTTAGGCCTCAAAATTTAAGGGGCCTCATTTTTAATAATAATAGGTTATAAGTAAATTTTTTTTTTAATAAATATTGAATACTATTTTTAGAAAAAGTAATTTTTCACGAAAAATGAAGGAATTATTAGAAGAATTTGACATATTTGGAGTACTATATCTCATTAAAAATAATTTAAAATAAGAATGGCTATATTATCAATTGAAAACTAGAACAAATCAATTAGATAAAAGTTATTAACAATTTAACTTAAGGCCCCGTTTGATTTTTGTTTTAGGCCACGAATATGCTTGAGCCGCCCCTGCTTGGACGTAAAAAAAGATTAATCAATTTTCCAATTATTATTCCCTCTGTCTCTAATTATATGTCCATTTTTTAATTGACACACCTATTAAGAAAACAATGATTGACATAGTGAGTTTACCATTTTACCCTTATTAATTATGAAGTGGATGAATTAGAAAGAGGAAAGGCTCAAAATAGTCCCTCATCTTTGGATTAAGGCTCAAAGTCATCCTTGAGTTTTCACATGGAGCACTAATAGTCCCTCATGTTTGCAATATTGGTGCACTTTTGGTCCTCCCCTAAATTTTTGCCTATTTTTTAACATCAATTTTGTTCACAATTTTATGTAAGGAATATCCAATCGTCTTTTTATATATTTAATAGAAATAATAACTCTATGTGAGAAAAGGTGATAAGAAGAACACCTTGTTCTGTTCAGCAGAAATATTACTGCAGTTAAACTAAGATCATCTTAACATATGACGTTGGAAGAAAAGAAAAAATTTATACTATTGCACGTGAAATTATCGTGATGAACCTCTCGACTTTACCTGCAATACGATTTCTACTAAAAACAAGGTGTGTTCTCATATTCTCTCATATGGAGTTATTCTTTCTACTAAATATATAAAATGACGATTGAATATCTCATACATAAGTTATGGATAAAATCAATGTTAAAAAAATACGCAAAATCTTGGAGGAGGACCAAAAGTGCACCAATATTGCAAACATGAGAGACTATTAGTGCTTCATGTGAAAACTCAAGGATGACTTTGAGCCTTAACCCAAAGATGAGGGACTATTTTGAGTCTTTCCTCAATTAGAAACTTAAGATTTTCAAGAAATTCTACCTTTTTCAAAGTAATTAATTGAAGATATTATAGGTATAAAAATTCATTTCTTGATTTGTCAATTGGACAAGTAATTAGAGACAACTAAAAAAGGAAAAGTGGACAACCGTCCTCATTTGTTAAGCACGGCCTCTCCCCCGTCATCCTCTTTCTTTAGAGGACTTTCGCACATGTCCCCTGCACCGGACCTTGAGGAGGAAGTGCAGCAAGTGAGCTCAATTCCTCAACAGGCCTAGTCCTTAAATCCCTAAACTAAATAGGACGCTTATAATCGCAATCATGCCGCATCAACTCTTTCAGTCACTACTACCTGTGTCGCACCAACAGTGGCAGAGTTTGATAAGAATCTCGGATAAGAAAGATCAATCTTGAATAAGCTTCAACGGATTCTCATTATAAGCAAGGAGCAATTAGGGATAGAGGGAGAATCATTTATTTACTAGTGATTTGGCTTTAAAGGCATATTCCTTCTTCTTTGTTCACACATAGCTAATGAGTAGAACTTAGGTACAGATAAAAGGTAGCTAAGGGATCACTGATTGACCACATATTTTATTAAAAAATAAAATTTCACTATCTAATAATATATTAACATTTTGTTTGCAAATTGCAACATAAAGTTTTGCATAATTAGTAAGTACAATATCTAATTTCCAGTATAATACATGTAGATTTTCGTTGGATAAAACGGATTATTCAAAATGGGTGTACACGAATTGTCTAAGATATATGTGAAGAAATTACCTAGTAATAATCATTTGCTTATGCTGGAACAAAACTTTGGTGCTACAGTGATTGAAGGTTTTAAGTTAACAGCTATAAAGTATCATTATATACTACATTACTCATTACTCGCAAAGCATGCAAACGTCCATTAAAAAAGCAACAGTTAAAACAAAAGGCAAGCCTATTTTTGAATCCTCAAAATACAATGAGCCATGGTCATGGAAAGAAAGAACCATGACAGGAGGCAATAATGAAAGTTACATTTAAAAACTTACAACTCTTGCTTTGAGGGAGACTCAATGCTTTACAAAACTACTTGTGGTAAATATTCCAAACGAATCAGCACAGCATATGTTAAAAAATCATGCGCAGTGGTTCAAGAAACTGCCTAGTCAAGCCATCGAGTGATACCATCTTCTCCAACAGCTGCAAGTACTTCAACACGTACATCCAAAACAGCCTGCAGGTTGCAGTGATGGCAACATCAAAATATTGGGTATTTCTAAAGTGGATGATAGAGAATAAGCATTCTTAAATAACTGATCTCATAATGGATGTAATCCACTCGATTAAAAACCACAGTTCAAAGAAAGGGAAAACAGATGTACTGGGGACATATTACCAAAATGGTTGCAGTAAGTAACTATCATGCAATTGGGCATGGGAGCTAGAGTTCTGAATGTCTGAAGCAGAACAAGAACTTACCAGAGGATTCCTACAGTTAACTAGTCGACATTCTTCCATAGTGCCTTCAAATGTCCAACTCTCCCAAACATCAAAACTGTGACTTGCAAATACAAATTCCATTCTCCTATTTATCTGCAAAATCGGGGTCAAGGTGAAATCACCACTTCTATATGAATACCAATAAAATCAAGCAAGCTAGAAATCCACAATAGAACGGGTGCAACAAATCTAATATCTCTGATTCCTATTGAATACCTGCACATGTTAACCTCTTATATCGACAAATTTAGAACTTCTCCAACACAAAATTCCCTCAAATTTTGGAGCGAATAACTTCTTAACAGCAAGGTCTAGATATATGGAAATGAATTTCTATCTCAGCTATTGATGCTAACTTACAACATGGAGAAAGTATTTTATAACTACCAAAATTAAGGACGTAGAACAAAGAGCACTTGGAAAGCTACAGCATCTTCTGCGGAGAGGGGTAAAAAAATTCTAAATATAAAATAAGAATTATTCTGATGAAATAAATATAAGAACTATTCATCCAGAGTTTTATGTTTGTCCAAGTGAATTAATACGTAAGTGATCTCAAACTTAAAGTTCCTAGCATGTAGAAGCAACAATTTAACTTCAAAGCTTTTGCAGTTTCCTAATGGTTTGGTCAATGATGTCTTATAAAAAGAATTACAGTGATAAATCATACCTGTAGTAACTTCCCTCCAGCAGTAAATGATCTCAACCCAATTGTATCCTGAAAGAGAAGAACCTCAGAGTCATTACATGTGTTCACAAAGCATTTGTTTGAGGAAATGTTTTTGAAATCTTGAAAAAACTATTGCCGAAAAAAATGTATTTTTTAATTTTTTTCTAGAAGTTTCTGAGAATAATTTTTAGAAGAAACTATATATTTATACGTGGCTTGAGGGAGTTGGCAACGAGTTCCTCTACTCTCAAAACACACAAAAAGAACTACAATAATCCATATATTTTCTTTTTGCACAAATTTTTTTTCTGAAACATTTTGCAGAAGTTGCCCAAATGGCTCCTAGTTCTCCTCACCCACACCCTCAACACAACCCAAAGCACTATGCTGATAGTTCCCCACAAACTGAAGGTAGAGGGCAGCTCTACCGCAACTGGAAAAGAAAATTTCTTTTCAGGCATACCTTGCTCCTAGAAACCACAAGGAACTGTGCCGCTGGGTCTCTTTTTGTAACATCTGACATTGTGTCGAGGAACCAACCACCCCCTTTGACTCTTTGTCTGGAGACATGCAAAGCGGGATGATGTCTTGCATGTAAAGCTATTACATAACCATCCTTCAGCAGTTCTGAAGATTTTCTGCTGAGATTTATGCCTTTTTTTGATAGCTGCTCCACTGATGATTCCTGTATTGATTCAATTGATGTCTTCCTACCTCTTAAATCTTCCGGAGAAGCAAAACGTGAACTGGAACTCACACCTTGATCTGTTCCGCTCATTGTTGCCCCATCTTCATGGTGTGACGTACTCTCCTTTTCAAATGCCAAGTGATCATCCACTTTGTGTTGTGATTTTTGGCGCCCATGCCGCTTTTTAGCCTTTTTACCTGATCGGCTTCTCTTTACTTCAGATCTACCAGAACTATTTTGAGACACCATGGAGCCTTGAAGCTGACTAGGTGATTCCCTCGAGACACTCGCTAATCTTTTCTGAGAGCTCTCTGCAACATCTTCAATGGCCTGCTGACTAGGAGAACCCTGCAACGCGCTTTCAACATCTTGTATTTGGTGAACTTCATTGTCATACCCTATCTCGCTTTCCTCTTCTTCATCGGACACAGAATCCTTTGGAGCAACACCATCCAAGAAGAATGACTGCAGCATAGAAATAGCTTTCTCCCTTATTTCCATCCACACCTCTTCACTATAATCTGCGCTGCGCGGCAGTATCAGGACATTGGGCATCTCCCTTACCTAATCCAAAGATACATCCACTTACGTCAATTAAAAGAAACCAACCAAGGACTATATTCAAAATAGCATATAGCTGATATCAAATTAACATAGATCCAAGAATCCAAATGTAACAAACAGATACCACCAACAAACATTGGCAATCTCCACCTAATAATCCTCAATCCCCTGCCTCTATTAGAAACAAAGTGGTGCAAAAAGAAAAAGGATTTCACACCCCTCGAAGTCCAAGGGTATACAAAACTTGAAATTCAAAAAAGTAAATCTTTATAAGCACTCTACACGTGTCTAACCAGGCCCACTCAAATATCAGACATATATGAGTTCATAGTGTCTCATAGTCGACACAATTTCTTACAGAACTTGATTAAATACCACTTAGTATTTGTACAATATGACTGTACTAAATCGACAAGAAACTACTTTTGGTTAGTGATACTAGGGCAAAGATTTGATAGTATCGACACAGCTCTACAATTATAAATTGTCCAGAGTTTTTTCTCTCCTTTCTTTCTATTAGCTTAAATTTGTAAAAGGACAAATATAAGATAGTTATAGGAAAAAAAACAGATTTTTACAGAAGTCAAGTGAATTATCAGAGTCAGTGTTTCAGATAGGAGAATTAGTTTTTTTACTCATGGACAAGTAGATCGCTTGTGGGATTACACGGGGTATGTTGTTGTTGGACAGGTAGATTTCTAGAAAGTAGAGCAGGCATTGCAAAAATGTCACAATGAGGCACAAATCACAACCCTGATTACTTTAAAGGCCTTTTTTTTTTTATAATGAATCACTTTAAAGGCCTTCAAATGCAACAATATAAAATACTGCAGAAGTAGAAGAAATAACAAAAGAAGAAAAGAAAATTGAAAACAACAACATTCAAGTTGTTGGACTTGGATCATAACCTTGGCATCATCCATAAGAGAAGATGAAATGCCAGATCTCTTCCCCAACTTTATTTATGGAGCATAACAAGATAAAGGAGTAACAAAAAGTTCAGAACAAAAAACAAAAAGCTCGTTGCACCGGGCATGCCTAGTGCGGGTTACCTCTCCTTTGTGGTTTGCGAGCTATTGCATAGGAGCAGGGGTTTTACCCTGTGCGCACCCAAAAGGTAGCGGTTGCGGGTTTCCCTTGTCATCAAAAAGAAAAAGTTCAGAACAACTAAGCATTTCAACAGCATCCTGAAACACTTCTCTATCCATTAATCTCTCACCAAAACAAGTGTTCGACAAGGCATACACCTTGACGAGGCAAGAGATTAAGGATGCCTGCTAGACTACACCCATACATGTTTTGGTTCCTAAGTGAATATATACACCAGGTGGAGTTCGGTCTAAAAGTTAAGGATAAGAATCACTAGCATGCATGGACTTAGGGCTATAAGACCTTGGAATAGAGTTCATTCTAAGTGCTTCAAAATTAATTCAGTTCAATATGTGCAACCCAATTTTCAATCTCAAAACTGCAGGACAATATCTATCAAACAAGCAAGCTTTCACAGTAAGGCAATAACCAACTTTCTCAATAATTTCCTAAATGAGTACACATCCCTCACAGGTTTATGAATTTCACCTGGGCAAACCATTTGTAGAAGAGCTTCAGCTATTAATTGGCCTCTCACTCTCTCTTGCACAAAAGAAAGACATTTTGAAGAAACATCGGACGGAAAATTCAGTCTCACCATTATTTACTAGCAATCATGCCATTAATGACAGAAATTCAACAAAAGAGCTATTTAACCAAATATATTCCTAACATTCAATCATACCCTAAGACTATTCATCATACCCATGCTTCCATCCATTGTGGCCCTTCAGCACCATCCAAAGCACAGCCAGCAATGCTTCCCTCTATTAGAAGTTGTTTCACAGCACAATCATCTAACAGTTGGCAACTACCGGTGTTAACAAGAAACGCCCCTGCATGAAATGATCAACAAGTCACCCCTTTGAGAGGGGAAATGTGGGATTGAGGCAACAGGAAACTACTACAGATACATATCCAGAGAAAAAATTACCAGGTTTTACGTGCTGCAAGCAATCTGCATTAATAATTTGAACTGTTTCGTTTGTTAGAGCACAATGTAATGATATCAGGTCACTTGCAGCGAGTAAGTCATTAAGGGTATCCATTCTCCTGGCAGCAGGTGGGAATCTAATAGAGTGTCTGCTCATTTTTCCATTTCCCTGTAAGCATTTAAGAAATAAAAACGGTTAGCACGCATTGATATGAAACACTAATACTTATCTCAGCAATCCTTCACTATGCTTTGATATTTCCCTTCACTGTGCTATTTATACAGGGACACCCAAAGTGAACTTTTAGTAGTTTTACGTGATATATTTCAGTTAAGCAATGAAATATCTACTCATAGAGCTTGAAATCTTCAACCGAAACACATCAACTTTCCTACCTCAACATCAAAATATAGCAGGATCATGTTGATTGAATGATATATTTCAGTTAAGCTGTGAAATCTAGTCATAAGGTCAGCATTTTAAACCGAAATACATCAATTTCACTGCCTCAACATCATAATATAGCAGGATCATGTTGATTGATTGATATATTTCAGTTGAAGTGTGAAATCTAGTCAGAAAAGTTGACATTTTTAACCGAAATTCATCAATATAACTACCTCAACATCAAAATAAAGCACGCTCATGTTGAATGCTAAACTCCGGGTAGCCAAAGACCTTGCAGACGCAGATCTACCAACAATTCCCAGTACAAGGCCGCGACAGCGGCGCATTCCACGGCACAGGGGCTGAACGGAGCCAAGCCAGCCGGAAGCCGATAACGTATGGCGAGAGAGAAGATGAGTACGGCGAAGCAAACCAAGGATAAGAGCCATAACAGTATCCGCAACCTCTTCAGCGCGGTTAACATCTACATGAACAAGCCGAGAAAGTCCAAGGTCAGAAGCGAGAGCTGAGTCGACAGCGCGGTCGGAGGAGCCGAGACAGAGAATAAGCTGCCATGAACGGAGCCGGCGTTGTGCCGCGCGTGGAAGGAACGCAAGTGAGTGAAGAAGTACGGCTGTAGCTGACTCGATCCGGGCTTCGGCTAAGCGGCTGAGTGGGACGTGTTCGATTACTGCGATGCCGGAGAGACATTCTTGTTCTAACGTTGTGTCTTCGATGCAATTGAGTGTTATGACTAGAGGAACTTGTTGAGTAATCAACGACGTCGTTTTGTTGTGGTGCGCCATTGTTGCTGCCGGAGATCTGGATGACGTTGTTGCCGGAAATGATTATGGACGCCGGAGAACACCGGCGAGCATTTCCGTCTTTTTCTCCGGCGAGTTTAGAAAGCAATGAGGTGCCGGTTTTTTGCCTCAAGAGTTGTGAGAGACCCTAGTCTTCCCTGTCACTTTTTTTTTGTGTGTCACACTGGCCCTGTGACTTTCTCTTTTTCCAAAACAGCCCTTATTAATTACTTTATTTCTCAATCAAGTCCCTAATCTAAGGGAATATCCTTGGGAAACGTGATGGAATCGTTTAATATATCTATATATATATACTATGCTTTTAATTTCTTTAACCGTTTTGGGGTTCAGTTAAGTTTGGAAATAGTTGTTGAAAAATTTAAATTTTACCTGAGAAACAAAATTATGATTGAATATCTGTTTATTTTAGGCATATTCTTATACGTTCTCTTTGACGTGATCTTCGCTGACAATTATGTCATTTAATTTTAATTATATATAAACATATATTTAAATTTGTATAAAATTAAATATATAGACTCACGCATCTTATATGACATAATACACATAAGAGAGTAAATATCTTAAAAGATCACTCAAGTATGTGAAAGTATTTGAGAAAGTCATTCAATTTGGTTTTATATCAATAAAGTTACTCAATTTATGGATTTTCTTTTATAAAATCACTCAACTTAAATTATTTTTCTAGAAAATCATTATAGCCAAAAGATTAAAAAAAGAATTGCACAAACTACCCTTCAAGTTTAGTTTGGTAATACTTACTTCTATTGTAGTTTAATATTATGCATATTTCTCTTATTTTATTTTATTTTATTTTATTTTTAGTAATTGTCTTAA